TAGAATCGCAACCGGCGGGTACACGGGGTGTGCTCGCGTTCCGTGGATAGCGAGTTTTTTTTCTTTTTCGAGCGATGCCTAGCGTCCCTAACGCGTTAACGAGCACCGTTCGACGCGTACCAGATTTCGTCCGGATTTAGATATGGCGTAAAAGCTGTTCCACCAGAAAGACGGAGAGAGAGAGAGAGAGAGAGAGAGAGAGAGAGAGAGAGAGAATCGCAAAAGTCGCTCTTTTCTCAAAAAATCGAACTCGATTTCGATGGGTCGTAGGTGATTCGTGGAAGGAACAGGCGTTCGGTAGACGTGTCAACCGTACCACGCAGGATCCAGCTCGAAATTTCCCGACAACGCGAGATACTTTGTTCTCGCGTAGCGATAAGAGCTCGTAACGCCGTAACGTTTGCCACGTACTCGAGAAAAAGCCGACAAAGATAAGAAGGGCAAATACTTCCGCGGTGTCGCGGAGACGCGGGGTCAGAGATCGGGCAAAGCTCGAGCGCGATCGTTGGCGTAAATCGTTAGGTTCCACCGTGTCGTTCTTACAGAAATACTCTCCTACGATCGCGTCTGATAGTCTCGTTCCGTTTGTCGTCTATCGTCTATCGTCCTTCGTTAGGTTCCACCGTGTCGTTCTTACAGAAATACTCTCCTACGATCGCGTCTGATAGTCTCGCTCCGTTTGTCGTCTATCGTCTATCGTCTATCGTCTATCGTCTACCGTATACCGTCTCTTCCGCGTCCACTTCGGCGACCAAAGTCGCTCGCATGGTGCAGAACGCGGATCACGCATTGTCCGCGTGTAACGGAGCTAAATGGGTTAATATGCACATCCGTATCGTGGCTCGCGTTATGTCACCGATGCCGGTCTAATTGAATAGGCCGAGCTGTACCGGGTGACTCGGGATTCGTCGAAAAGCGTTGCATCCGCGCGCGTTCTTTGCCCGGGGAAAAGGTTGAACGGTTGCGCGTGTCGGAAAGAATCGGTGAAAAAATAATCGGTCTTCGGATGGAAGGAGTGTGCGACTTTGCTCGCGTTTCGTCTAGTAGCACGGTGGGGAAGAATAAGGTCGCTTTCGGTTGTCCGTGCGATACGAGGCCAAAGCAGTCCAGCGTGGTTCAAATAAAATCGTTATCTAACACTTTCACCGAGTAGAACGACGACGAAACGGCAACGATTCGAGATCGCGTCGCGAGACGCGTCCAACTCGCATTCCGAGCCGAACCGTCGCGTCGCCACGATGCATCGGGTTATTACCGATGCGAATACTTTTTCCTCTCTCTCTCTCTCTTTCTCTCTCTCTCTCTCTCTCTCTCTCTCTCTCTCTCTCTCTCTCTCTCTCTCTCGCGCGAGTCCAGACGAAGCGAGAATCCGAGCGAGATCTCGTCACGCGCGTCGTGCTCGAGCTACGTAGAAATAGAGGAGGCGATACGTAACGCGTGGCCGACCTTCGTTGCGCCGTACCGTTGCGATTAGCGGTAGACTCGCGTCCAGCAAAACCCAACGAATCGCCGTGTTTTCGAAGGAAAATGGCAAAGGAAACTCCGGACGAGGCGTCGTACCTGTCGCGGATTTGCCGAATCGATTCGACGATTCTCCGATCCTCCGGGACTTATGTAAAACGTCACGGCAATTTCGACGCGCGATTCGGAAAGCTTCGTACAATCGGGTGTTCGCATCCGGTGCAGTATGATGTCGCAATACGTTGCATCGTCGTGTCTGTCACGAGCGGTAACGGGAAACGGGCGTCGAGTGGCCGTTAACAGGCCCGATTTTTCGATAATTTCGTTTCTGTCCGAACCACTCGACTACGAGAGAGGAAAGACGGACTCGCGTACGCGTATCGAAATCGATTCGCTCGAGGCGAAGCGAATCGCGCGTGGGAGAGAATGCGAACCGTCATCGTTCGTTTCTGCGAGCGCTGCAATGGTCCGAGAAGTGACGGAAAGCAAAGGCGATTTTTCCGTTTCACGCGAACGTATAAAACGGCAGCGAAGAGTAACGATTGGGAAATGGTGCGATTTTCGTTAGGCAAACGTCCAACGACCGCTTAAACGCGGGTCTAGTTTCAGCGAAACGGATGAGCCAGAGGAAACGCGAAAGGTCGATGCACGTTTAAACTTTTGCTTCCCTGACACGGTACGGATACCGCTATTCGGTCCAAGTTGCAGGACAGCCGCGAGCTCCGACAGCCTACTACTACTCCGTGGCGTAAGGTAGCCTTGGAATTATCCGTCGCTTCGAACCGTCCGTTCCAACGGATACGTATATACACGCGTATGACACGATCGTTTTATAGCTATACGCGTAAACGTGGCGAAAACCGTGGATGGTCCGGACGAAAAAGGCTACCGGAATCGATTCTCTCGAACGGAGCTGTGGCCGTCCGGAAAGGATAGAAACGGAACGAGTGCGCGAGGCGATCGAAGGTCGTGCCATTGGCACTCGAGGTCGTTCGAAGGTCACAGGGGTCGTCGAGGTCGTGTGGCAATGACTGCAAAGGCGATGGCGAGAAAAGAGACGGGATATCGGCGAGGTAGTCTCGAGGTGGATGGAAAAGTTTGAAAAACGACGCGTGCGTTTCGATGGACCGCGTAGCCGCGCGCGCTTCTCCAAAGCGATCGGTTAGCTCCGATGATCGCGTAGTCGCGCCACCGCCGTCGCCGTCGCGAACTTTCGCGTTTCGCGTTTCGCGTTTGATTTCGCGCGGGCGACCCAACGCTACCGGCCGAAACCGGTTTGCCCTACGAGTTAACGTCCGGTGGCATCAACTACCGAGCTTTTGGCTCGAACCCGACGTACGCGACGAGCGCTTTTTTCGCCGGTACGCTTTTCTTGGCCGCGCAACGAACCGAAAACGGCAACGAGCAACGGACGCGTAGTGGAAAAAGTCGAGGCTAAAACCTCCTCTTTTGTTCGCGCGATAGGTGTCATTCGGTGATCGGAGCACGCGTCGACGTTCGAGATTCGAGGAAGCAAAGATTTTCAGTCGTTTGGAATCGCGAAGGAGAAAGCGTCGAGAAATTTTATCGGATCGACGTGTCGCGAGACGAAACGTAGTAGCAGTAGTAGCCGGCAGTGGTAGCAGCAGCAGCAGTAGTAGCAGTGGCTTGGCAAAAAGTCAAACCGCGCGGTGGTTTCTCGTGGCGGGTTTTCGCGGAAAGGAAAAGCGGAGAAGTAAGGCGTGGATCGGAAGGATTTGGAATCGGTTCGAGATGCACGATAAACGAGTAGAATCGGCGTTGGACTAGGACGGAAAGACGAGGGATAGGCATCGGAGGAAAGAGAGAGGGCTCCGCACTGACGCATCGGCGCATCGGTGCACCGGTGCACCGGCGCCGCGGCGCAGCGTAGGAACGAGGAGATTATCGTAGCACGGCGACGACTGTGGCAACAGGGAAGTGTCGCTCGCGCAACGACCGTCCCGAATATACGCTCGTAGTGGATATTTTCGATTCGAGCCGATTGCACAACTCTCTCGGCTCGGCAAGCACGCGCGTGCTTCTCCGCGTACAGCGGTTATTCAACGACCGCGTATACGTGCTTCGACTAGTCTCGCTTCTGCGTCGTAATTAACGTCTCTCTGTTCTTTAGTTCTCGTCCACTTCTCCTCGCGTTTAAATTACCGTTGACTATAAATTACCGCTCGTTCGAACAACCTTGAATCGAAAGGTCTAGTCGATAGTGCACGCGGAGTTGCCACGTACTTGCTCGTGCACGCGCATACCGCGGCGCCGCGTCCGAGCGAACTCGCGATTCCAGACGGAAACGCGAGATCGCGAACGATACGGGCGGAAAGCGTGGAAAGGACGACGGCGCGGTAGGTCGATCGGCTGGCGAAATCTGTCTGCGCGGGCGCGCGGGCGGGCGCGCGTGCGCGCAACGAGGACGCGGTCGAAAGAAACGATCGAGCGCGCATGCGCACCCGCGTACCCGCGCACCCGCGCCGCTCTCGAAACGGTCCGCAAGAATTGGGTAACGTGGTCGCTTTTTATCTTATTTGTTAAGCGCGTCGTTTGCGTAGCGACGTAAAGTCAAAGTCCGCGGTCGCTATTATTACCTACTCCGTCGAGCTCGCCGTATTTTACCACCGTTTCCTCCTTTTTCTCCCTTTCCCGCCTCTACGCCATTCTCTACTTCACTTTTCTCCTTCTTTTTCTTCTTTCCCTCGCTTTCCTACTCGCTATCGCCAAGCGATTACGCAAGAGCGTTCGCGCGACAACGGAACGAAGACGAGAACGAAGAGCTTCGATCCTCGGACTCGAGATCCGCCGCTCCTCCGAGATCGCGCAGCCGATACCTTGGACGGGACCGAATGGAAAATTTTTCCTCGAAAATTCGCTCGACGAGAAGCGATAGAATCGGCCAAGCCGAGTTTAACCGTTGTCGATAAGTGTGTACAGAGAAGGGTGGTAGGATCGGCGACGTTTCCTTGTTCGGTTTATACCGTCGGTGGTTAACGGTTACCGGTGGTCGCGTTCCCGATAAGCCAGCTAACACGCAGACTTTTTCCATATGGCGAAACCGCGTTTGATCCACGTGTCCGGCAACGGGCTTTCGTGTCGCTACTTACGACACTGTGCAACGTGATCTCCGAGAACCGCACGCGAGCTGTTCGTTTTCTTTTCCTTTACCTTTACATCCTCGCGATATAATATCTCGACTCGTAACCTCACGCGCGCGTCTAGCGTTACCGCGCGTGGATGCACGGCCAACGCGTTCATACGCGTAAGATACCACCGTTCGAGCGAAGATCGAACGCGCGCCGACCGCGACGTTATATACGACCCGCGATAATAAACCTCGGTCGAGGCACGCGGAAGCGCGATTCGCGCCACGTCGGTCACCACCACCGCCGCCACCACCGTCGCTATCGCCGTCGCTATCGCCACCACCAACCCTCGTACGATTTCCGGATCGATCGACCGATCGAGCTACGCCATTTCTTTCGCCGTCAAACGCTACGATTCTCATCGAAACCTTTTTCTTTTCTCTGTTTCAGGATACATGAACTGCAATGCCAGCACGCTGCAATCGCTCGCGCAACTACACGGTGAGTGAAAACTGCCAGTTCGTACCTATTTCTTTCCTCTCGACTCGTTCTTTCGTTTCTCGAACGTGTTTCGCGGTACCGGCTGATACTCGTTGCCGCGGTACGTCGCGCTACGCCACGCCGCCGCAGCAAGATTCCCCGGAAGAGAGAGAGAGAGAGAGAGAGAAGAGCCGAGGAGCACGCTCAATTAAAATTTACGTTTGCGCAACGCGTTTGCAACAGACCTGTACGCTTTTCTGACGGCAATGGAGGAAACGCGCGAGGCCCTCCTCCGCGGAGCTCGCTTCGTCTGCTCTTCGTTTCGTCGCGATAAAGGAAAGAGAGTAAAGGAAAAATGGAGACGAGATGCACGCGAACGCGATGATCGGATTGTCGCGTGGTCGAAAAACTTTCGGACTCGAGTCGTATTCGTCGCGTCGGTTTACCGGCGAACCGGCACGGACTGAAATTACGCGAGCGTGTACGGAATCGAGCGCGTGACAGACACGCATCGAGTCCGGCGCTGATGGGACGATTCTCTGCGTGGAATCTCGAAGCGTGAAACACGAGTGCATACGCGAGAACCGATTTGTAACGCGTCGATTTCGAGCATAGATGGTAATCGAAAGCCCGTTGGCGATAAAGGAGCCAGGGACGAACATGGAAGAATAGCTTATCGGAACGTCGCGTGGTTATCGCCGACGTTAACGAGCCATTTCTCGTCCGATACGCGTCCGCGAGCCTCTCCGATCTTTACGCGGTCTGCAACGCCCCTTTGCGAAAAGGCACTCGCGGTCCGATCGATATACACCGCTTTCACCCGACCACGAGCGGCTAAACGTCAGCCATGCTCCATCGATCTATTCCTTTTCGTAAGCTCTGGAAAACCGATAAATATGCACCGAAGGCTCGAGAGGTCAAGGCAAACTCCACGGTGCGCATATTCAACGGTCGGGGATACCGCGTGGATCACTACTACTACCGAAACGTTACGCGACTCGTCCACGGTACATGGACGCGCACACGAGCGCGTTCCCTTGTCGGAATCGTGTCGTTTCGATCGTTCTCGTGTAAACGATTGATCGTAAAACTTTAATAAACCTCGAGTTCACCGAGATATTTCGTTCGTCCGCCTGAATGGAACGACAAAGTCGGCCGCTACTTCTCGGTTTCTTTTCTAGTCTTCTCGCTTGTACGAGATGCATAGAATGCAACGGGGAACGGAGCAGTCGGTCGGCTGTTATCCGGCATGTCTATAGCGCGTAAGCGGGAAAAATTGCTCCTCTCTCGTAGTACATGCGATATTTGGACGGCGAACGTTGGCTCGCGCATACGCGCGTATAGGTTTCAATCGCGAAGCGTGTCCGATACTCGATATTTTCACCTGCGAAACGTTAGTCGTCGCGATGAAACGCATCGAAGCCAAGGCGTAAGATTTTCCTTGTCCTACATTCCTGGTATCCTTGGCAAAGTTTCGCGTCGTTGACGTTCTTCGTTCGCAGGATAAACCTGCTCGCTCGCCACCCGATCGTGTTCCAACGGCGACGCTTCTTTTGCGTCGCGGTTTCACTTCGACAAACTATACATACACGTATATACACACGTAAACTTTCGTCTGGCGCGGTACGCGTTACTCGCTATTGGCAAGGTTCCCGATTATCCGCTCGAACGGAGGCTCGGCACCCCCGTTGCTCTCAAGAAACCACCGCGAACGAGCCGTTTCTCCGATGACGGTAAAAGCGATTCCTCGGTCGATTAAAACGAACGATTATCGCGGGGAAGTTTATCGCGGAGCGACGCAATTAGAGGTAATTACCGGGGAGTCGTATTCGCGTCGCGCGAATCACGCGACACCAATCACGCGAGCTACTTTTACCCGAGAGAATAGGGCCGCGACGAGTGGTTGCGACGCGTAACGCGATCGCGCGCCGCACCGCGTCGTCGCTGCGAGAGCGGACACGTGTCCATGCTTCTCTCTCTTTCTCTCTTTCTCTCTTTCTCTCTTTCTCGATTTTTCCTGCATTACTCGGCGAATCGCGATCGAGGCGCATCGTCGGCTAAAGGAGAATCTCCTCGGCGCGACGGTTCAAAGTCGACGCCGCGTTCTGTACGCGAATCGATCCACGATTCGAGTTTAAGCACGATCGCTGTCGCGAATCACCGACGCGAGACGAGCAGAAGGAGGGAGAGGGAGAGAGAAAAAGAGAGATCGGAGAGACCTGTTTTCGAGACCTGCCTTAACGCGTCGCGAGACGCGTATAGTATCGAGATCACTTTCGCGTTCGAGAAACGGAAGCAAAGTTTAACGACGCGTCGCGGAAAGGTATATCTCGAGTGCGAAGATTTCTAAAGTTTTACTTGCAAAAGACCGTGGCCGCGCGGAGGGTACGAAACGCGAAACGAAATGGTTTTCCAGGGAAATAAGGTAAACTGTGAGATATTCCGTTGGTCGAAACGTATGCTCCTCTAATCGAATTCGAGACGCGTAAGTAGCCTGTTGGGAGTACGGCGAGACGTGCGGCAGTTTCGCTTGCTCGAGACTTTGGAAAGGTCAAGAGTGCAGCAGACGTTCCGCGCGTTCCCTTTCTTTGTCGGATCGTACGCGGGTACGATTCGCCGTGTCCCGATCTCTATCGTATCGCGCTCGAAATCCTATCGTCCCAGGTATCGTCGTCGTTTGCGCGCGTTTATAGATACCTCTTGCGACGATAAAACGGAGAAGCGAGTAACGAAACGCGTACCTGCGAGGAAAGTCGATTCGTACCGCGGATATTCGAGACGAGAACAAGACGCGCGAGTTCTCGTGCTCTCCGATCTTTCTATGCGAGCACGCCGTGGATAGACGACGTTTCTATCTACCCCGAGTAATTTCCCAACCAGGGTCCACCCCCTCTGCGCGTCTCTGTCGTTCCTTCTCTCCTCGGGCTGGGTGGTTAGATCGCGGTCTAAGGGGTTGACGAACGACTGCCGAGCGAAAGGAAGGCGTGGGGTGGAGGGTGAAGAAGCGGCGCGGCAGAGTAGCGGAGAGGCAGAGAGAGACGACGACGACGACGACGACGACGACTCGTCGAGGTCGTCGGAACGAAAATGCGAGAGAGGGCTGTCGTAAAGCTACTGGAGCTCTCGAGACACGCGCTCGTTAATTCGCGGGATTTTCTAAGTCGTTAATAAGCACATAATTACAAATTTTTATAAGTCGCGCTCGCAAACGGAAGCGTCGAAAAAGAAAAAAAAGAGTGGCGGAGGGGTTAGGGGTCGGTAAGGGATGAAACGGAGAGAGCCGGGAAACGGATGAAGGTGGGAACGGGAAGAGAGGCTCGGCGGGGAGAAGAAGGTGGGAGGAGGCAGGCTAGACAGTCGAGAGACCGCGAAAAGAGAGGTGGCGAAAACGTGGCGCCCCTAGTAACGTTTTAATTGCTGCTTTCTCCCCGATTACCGTTGTCGCCGGCACACCGCAGCGCTCGTTGCGCGCTCGTTGCGCTTCTCGCCTTCGTTGCGCTCCATGCGCCTCGTCCTCGCGTCATTCTCGCTTCTACCCGTTCTCCTCCGGTCGGTTCCATCTCTCTGACCTCTTTCGATATCGATTAACGCGTCTCTTCGTTCCGATTCGATTCGACCCAAGGTGTCGCGCGAATACGCGCGAATACGCGCGTCTTGGATGGACGAGGGAACGGGACCGCTCGAGGAAACCTAATCTACCTAGTCGCGTTTTCTTCCTCTGCCCTTCCGATCTTCCAAGCGAATTAGACGCGGTAACTTTCGTTTCTTCTTTCTCCTTTTCGCGAAAAATCTGTCGTTGCAAAAGGAAGCTACGCGGAAATTCGACGAGCGACGTTTTCGAAGGAACAAACGTTCCGAAATCGACAAAGTTCGTATCGAAATGGAAAATCATGCTGGCAGAGGGGAACTCGATTTATCTCGTAAACGTGCCTAGATAACGGGACATTTGCATACTATCGGTAAAAACTCGCTCGGCCAACTGTCCAAATTCGTCAGCCACTACGCGCGTCGAAGCAAATGGATCGTTAATACTCGGTGAATCATTGCGTTCGTTTTTCGCCTGTCGTCGCCGAGGAGAATGAAACGGACGGAACCGATTGTCCGCGACACGTCGACGTTCCGTGTTCGCGCGATTCGTGCGCGAAATCCTCGCGAGCTTTCCGATTTGTTTATTCGTAGAAATCGCGTCGCCATACCCGAGTCTTTATCAGCTGTCGCGCACTGACGCGTCGCGACGTCCAGCTATTCGAACGATAACTCGATAACTCGTGGCTCTACGATCGCGTGAATCACGCGTTCCGCGAGCTCTCGCTCGCGTTCCAATGGCCGCGCATCGTCGCGAGAAAAGTAAAAGGACAAGGTGAGAAGAAACGGAAGGAACGCGTTATCGGTATCGGCGTAGATGCGCGAACATGGGAAAAGCACGGGAAAAGCACGGGAAAAGCGAGAGGAGCTGGCTTAGAGTAGGATGGGGGTGGAGCGAAGAGGTAGCAGTGGCGGTGATGGCGGTGGTGGCGACTATAAAAGGTTATTCACCTCGGCTAGCTTTCGCGCGCACCCGTTGCTTTTCACCGCGTTTCCGCGAATACGGGTCGTTTCGTTAGACGCGAAACGAAACGATTGATCGCGTTTCGCGACGTTGGTCGTCCAGTCGATGCGTCGATCCCGAGTTTGGCTAGCACGCGGAAAGCTAACGACTGGGTAATGCGCGTCGCGTTCGCTTCGCTCGGCATAATTTCCACGATACACCCGCGATCACGGATATAGAACGTTGTGTACAGCCCGGTTACCTGCTAAGGTATCAGCGTGGTGTGTCCAAAGGGTGACGAATGGAAGGGAGAAGGAGAAGGGTGAAACGCAGGGCGGGCACAGGGGGCAGCGCTACCTGTAATATTGATCCGTAGAACCCCCTAACGTCGGCGGGGTGCGTTAGAGGGATGTTCTCTATAACTGTCGCCGTACGAGCAAACGAAAACATCGCGTTTCGTCCGGCTTCTATTCCTCGCAGCCACCGCGATTCGCCTTTCTTCTTTTTTCTTCCTCGTTTTACCCGCTTTCTCCCTACCTTCTTCCGTTTCGTTTCATTTCGTTTCATTTCGTTTCGCTTCGTTTCTAGACGCTATGTCCCGAAAAGTATGTAAAAACGAATCGCCTCTGCCTGGTAGAAAGGGATAGTAGAGAGTCGTAGGTCGTAGCGATGGTTAGGTTGCACGCGTTTCTGCGCGCGTATTCCATTTTCTTTCCGTCGATGCGCGCTTTCTTACGCCGCGCGTTTACAAACTCTGGAGAGACGCATAGCGAGTGGCACGCATCGGCGATTCACCGTGTCTAACAGTCTTATTGTTTTCAAATGAATCGTCGTAAATTATTCGAATTACCGTGAAATCTTTGCCAGGCTTTTTCGTGTCACGCATACGAGTGAAAATCGCGCATTTTCCCGCACGAAAAAAGAATCTCCTCGCGTTCGCTTCTCTTCTGCCGTTTCTCCGTTGCTACTCTACGTCCGATCGATATCCAAACGATCATCGGACAGAGTTGACGCGTAACGAGAATTTCGGTGAAAAGGCACGAGATACGTACGTACGTACGTACGTACGTATGTACGTACGTATGTACGTATATACGCGAACAAAGACGAGGGTGTAAGCGTAAGCGCGAGCGCAGGCCTTCGTTGGTAATAAGGCTGCGATTATCCGCGCAGATTATTCTACGTCGAACCGGTCGGCAGCGTTGCCCCCCTTCGATCTCGAACCCTCGCGACTCGTGTTTCGTGTCTCGTGTCTCGTGTCTCGTGTCTCGTGTCTCGTATCTAAAGTTTATACCCGTATCGCGATCACGCATGCACCGATTTATCCGCGTTAGCTAGCTCGAGTTGGGTTGCAGAGGACCAGAGAAAAAGAGAGCGAGAGGGAGCCTACCGAATCGCGGTTAAAGCAGCTTCCACCTGTCGCGACAGGTCGGTCCGTATACCGCTACTCTTTCTTCTATCCACTGCTCCCGTCTCGAAACTCGATCGACTTCTCACCCTCGACGCGTAACGAAATACGTAGCCCGGAACGCGTCCGTTTAATCCTCGATTAATCCACGATTAAAGGCTGCTCCTCGATTCGACCATACGCCGATACGCCGTCGCGTGGATGCGTCCACGCGCCGACGCGGTTTTAACGAATTTCCACAGTTCGTTGAATAACGCGACGGCGGTTCCGTGGAACACGCGTAAGTCCGGAAGAAGGATCGCGGGCGAGATTCGGAAACGATAAAAAGTCCGTGAGAAGGATAGAAGGGAAAGGAAGATGAAAGCGGTCGAAACGGAAATGGGAAAGGAAACGGGAAAGCGAAGGGGAAAGCGAAGGGGAAAGCGAGCGGAAACGTCTCGGCCCTTTGCTTGCACAGGATCGATGTTTGCTCCGAGTTTCGCGATAAACCTCTGTTTAGAAATAACGATAACCGTCGTATTCCGGCATTTACGTAACTTTCGTTAACGCGTTAGGTATTTTATTGGGAAGAACGGTGGAAAGGAAAGGGACCACGTCCCCAGTGCTCCCCTAACTCGCGTGACATCGTTCCGCGATTTGCAGGGCAGGCGAGCGTATCGCGGCCGTGACTCGATCGCCCTCGAAAGCTCTTCGAGAACGAAACGTTCTACCCCCTGCGATCAAACCGGCTGTCAGAGTTAGCGGATGATTAACGAGGAATCGAGAGAAGCGGAGTCACGAGGAAGCACGACTCGCGCGACTTAAAATCTTTTAATCGATACACTGCGCTCACGCGCGCGCGCGTCAGTCGTGCCTGGTTACGCGACGAAACGTCATTGCCACGAGCATCCTATGCTGCAGATACACCGATCGAATTTTCCTTTATCGATTCCCGCGATATCGGAAACGAGCAATCTGCTCGAAGGAGAACCGTGTAAACCGCTTTTCCGATTCCCGTTGTCTTTCTCGTCGAGTCGCAACGCATCTACCCGAGCATCGACCCGACCTATATACGTATCGCGCTGTGTAAAAGTAAAAAGGAAAAAAAAAAAGAGAAAAGATAAAAAAAGAAAGAAAGAGAGTCGGGAGTAGACGGACGCGCGAGCACGTTTTGTCTACGACGAAGCAAAACGAATTTGCGGCTGTATCTCGGTAAAATTTCCGCGTTTGCGTTACCGCGTTGATTAATGGAAGATTAGATAGCGAGGTAAGAACCGATAGGCGTTGGAGACCTATTCGCGGAGCTGACCGGAGGTAATCGATAATGCGCGAAACTGCGGGAACTGACGGGTAAAATGGAGGAGAAGGTGGGCGAGGTAACGCGATGGCCACGATGGCCACGATGGCCACGATGGCCACGATGCGTGCCCGGTTCTGTCGTCGCGGAGAATCGTTTCGATTCTGTTCCAAGACCCGATTCCTCGAACGGAAGACGATCGGTGGACGCCTTTGCAGGTTGGCGATTGCCCGGACGCGAAGACGACATCGGCCGACCACGCGACCATGCACCAACCAACTCTATCGATTTCGCCGACAAACGTGAAAAACAGTCGAAGATGGAACAATAAAACTCGATTGTTCCGCTCGGTTGCTCGTACGCTTTGTCCATTTTACGTTTTCTCTTCGCTGACAGCAAGAAAGCAGCGACTTCGTGACTCGTTTGCGTTCGTTATCTGAAAGGAAGATTCGGCGCCAAGCATGGCGACGTTCGTTAGAAGAGCTAGATTCCCGGTCAGAAGAAGATACAGTGAGTTTTCGTCGGATCCGATCGAGACGAATCGCGAAATTACGCCGCGGCATCGGCCTCGATTTCTCCTAACCGTTTCGTTTCGCCGCGCCGTGTCGCGTCGATGCGCCGATATTCGTCCAGTCGCTACCAACTGCTACTTCTCGGCTTTGTCCTACTCCAGCTCACCACGAACGCCCATATTCCGCGTTATTTCACGTTTTTAACGCGAGGGCAACGCGACGCGACGCGACGCGACGATCCATTTTCCAAGCAAAAAGGACTCACCGAGGTCGACGAGTTACGTAAAAAGCTCCACGACTACCGCTTTCTCGGGATCGTAAAATGGCGATGACGTAACGCGACGTCCGCGCGTCCGGTGATACGCGAAACGAAAAGTCGGGAGAGAGAAAGAGAGAGAGAGAGAGAGAGAGAGAGAGAGAGAGAGAGAGAGAGAGAGAAGAATCCGGAAATAAAAGTGGCAGAGGCTGGAGATAAGAGGGATAATGGACGTAGCGTGTATGGTTACAGGCAAATCACCGTTCTTCCCAAGTCTGGAGGACCAGAGCGGCACACTGCTAGAGGATCCTAACGCGGCGAGTCAATTGGACGGCGTCGGGGTCGGCGTCGGAGTCGGTGTCGGTGTCGGAGTCGGTGTCGGTGTCGGTGTCGGCGTAGGCGTCGGTGTCGGAGTCGGCGTCGGTAGCGGCATAACCGGCTCTCAGACCGCGCCGCTTTCGTCCCCGAGTCGGAGCAGTCCTCACAGTCAAGGTAGCGAAACGGGAGAACGTTTCTCTAGGAAAGTGTTCGTCGGTGGTCTGCCACCGGACATCGACGAAGGTGAGTATAAACGCCTTTCCACGTACCGCTCCTCGCTCCATTTCTTTCTCCAACGCGCGGCATTCGCTCGAAATTTATACCGTTGTTTGTCGTTTTCTCGTTACAGAGGAAATCAAAGCCAGTTTCCGTCGTTTCGGATCGTTGGTCGTCGATTGGCCCCACAAAGCGGAGAGCAAATCCTACTTTCCACCAAAGGGCTACGCTTTCTTGCTTTTCCAGGTAATCGAGAAACTCGCGACCGTCGCTCGCTCCGTGTCGTTGTATATTCCTCGTCTATGCCTGCCTACCGTTATGCCAGCGCGTATACGCGTCGCTGCTACTATCGCGGATACGCACGCGAGTCGGAGCCGGTCGGACGGTGGATCGCGCGTCGATCACGCGTCGATGGCGCGTGGAAAACGCTAACATCCACCGGTTCTCTTTCATTCCAGGACGAAGCATCCGTGCAACAGTTGATCGACGCGTGCATCCAAGACGAGGAAAAATTGTACCTATGCGTGAGTTCGCCAACGACCAAAGACAAACCGGTGCAAATTCGACCGTGGCGACTGAGCGACGCGGATTACGTGCTGGACGCTTCGATGCCGTTGGACCCACGAAAGACGGTGTTCGTCGGTGGTGTGCCGCGACCATTGAAAGCCGTTGAGCTGGCGATGATCATGGATCGGCTTTACGGAGGCGTGTGTTACGCCGGTATCGATACCGATCCCGAGCTCAAGTATCCAAAGGGAGCCGGTAGGGTCGCTTTCAGCAATCAGCAAAGCTATATAGCTGCCATATCGGCCAGATTCGTTCAGTTGCAGCACGGCGACATAGACAAAAGAGTAAGTGTATCTCGCCACGTTCCCGATACCTCTTAATCTTTGCCTCTCGTTTTACCTGCGTAATTTCTCCTCTTCTTTTCCGTCTAGGTCGAAGTTAAACCGTACGTTCTGGACGATCAGATGTGCGACGAGTGTCAGGGACAACGTTGCGGAGGCAAATTTGCGCCGTTCTTCTGCGCGAATGTTACCTGCCTACAGGTAAGCAGCGTGTTTTACCCATCGCGCTGTGCGCGTTCTCCTTTCTCCGTTGTTGCTGTCGTCATCGTCGTCGTCGTCGTTGTTCTCCTCGTTCACGTCGCGTGTTTCGGCTTTGGCCACGAGAGTATCACGGAGAAAGCGAAAACCGGCGTAGCGCGGATGTAACGCAAAAATGAAAACAACGCCTCGAAACGCCCGTTCTCATTTGTCGTTGTTCCAGTACTATTGCGAGCACTGTTGGGCGACGATTCACTCGCGGCCAGGTCGAGAGTTCCACAAGCCGTTGGTGAAAGAGGGTGCAGATCGACCTCGAGCCGTGCCGTACCGCTGGTGTTAACCCCAGCTGCGTTG